TTATTGAAGACGCCACGATTGAAGCAAAAGATAACGCCCTGGATGCCCCAAGTCTGGGTACTTGGTGATTTGTTGTGAATTTCCTTCAGAGAAGGTTGCAGCTCTGCCTGATGATTAGGGTAACTTGGTCTTGCCCCAGTCCGAATATGGTAATGATATGCCCCTGCTCGAGCTGTTTGAATGATTTGCTCCAGCCTATGGGCTTTGAAATAATCTTGCTTCGTGTACGCCACTGAAAGTCGAGTTCCTCCTCGGTTGGACCTTGTTGAGATGTCCTTGAATACCTAGCACTGATTTGCAATTAAAATTGTACATTCATAAATGGTAATATTAATGCAAAGTTCAATGTAAGTTTTGAAAAAGTGTGTCATTTATTGAGGTGTCGTGATAGTGAGACGAATGGACCGCTAGCCCAGACGTTGTGATGTTTGATTGGTGCGAAAAATATATCAAGAGAAATGACACCAATGTTGGTGATTAGAAATCATGTGAGGAGTCAGGTTACGCAACCTTGCAATAGTATACTTTCAGAATAATCCCTGCCTCAATTAGGTCTTTCGAGGGTTGTAACGTGGTCTGGTTCACGGTTATGAAACAAAGGATATTAGGCTCAAAGTATGATTTGTACCCACCCCTTCTTCTTAATGATCTCCAGTCCTACGCTCAGTTAATTCTATACTTGTCTGTACGGTGTAAGCTTGAAGGTTCAAGGTTTGCTCGACGTGGCGGTCACCTTATTTTGGTTTTTTGATGGATGTCAATGTCCCTTTTGATTTGGGTGGCCACTGTATCTCATTTTGTTTTTGTTGAGGGTTTTGGGGTCCTCTTTTGCTTTTGTTTTTTTGATCCCTAACTTTTGCATGGATTAACTTCGCTTGTTAGATCCATCGGGATTGCCTTGATTTTGCCTAAGTCCCCTCTAAGGTGTCTGACTTAGCAGGCTTTTGATGTTTTTTTTTGGATTTTGTTGGAAGGTTGTGACTGCCATAGCATGGGTCATTGATGAACCATCGTCTTTAGGATTTTGCTTTATTGATTCAAGTGCGGGGTTAAATTAACTGAACACTACCCTGCCCCAGGTTGAGTGTAAAGGTTTGAATATCCGAAGGAAACTGCTACTTCTAGGCTCGAAGTGGCTTACTAGGGATTAACTCCTTATATCTCTAGTGTTTGGGGATTTGAAGCAATGCCTGTACATCATTGACGAGATTCGGTCTGAAAGCATACGGTTTGCAATTATGGGTATCTCGTTTTCATCATCCTCCCTCAAATCATGCTAAACAACAGTGAATAGAGTGGAGTAAATAAATGTGTCGGTGATAAGTGAAAATGAGTGAATACGACATAACTAATTCAAAACATGCATAAATGATACATTAATGAAAACCAAATACGAAATGGCAATTGTTCAAAGCATACAATACTTAAACAAACAAAGACAAAACATAAGAACTGCGAATAATGAAATGGCAACATGACTGCCTTCTTCGGGGAATGAACTTGACTGGAATCGATCTGATGTTGGCACTAGTTGACTGGTGGCATCGGTTCATCCGGGTAAAAAGGTAATAATTTGATTCTAATTCGTTTTACCTAATTCCTAAATTATGTTATTATTATTATTTTGAATCTGTAGAAAATTGGAATCGATGAAGTTGTCTATACTGTTGATCTCAAGAACGGAGAGGTTATCAAAGGTTAGTTTCATTTTTCATTTTCAATTCATTTGTTTGAAATTGTGGATTTTGATGTTTATATTTGCTTTCAATTTTACTCATTCAATCCAGTTTTATGATAAATTATCTGAAGTGGATTTCTTATATATTTACAATCAAATATACAATAAACTTGGTTTTAAACTGTAATTACAATTGAAAATTAATGGGTTCTGGGTATATGTGAACATTGTCATTGCAATTACAGCCACACCAACTGCAATTACAATTATTATAATTGCGGCCATAATGTCAAGGTTTTGGGTATCTGCAATTGCAATTTGAATATAATGTCAAGATTTTAGGTTTTCTGCAATTGCAATTTTGATTGAAATTATTGATAATTGCAACCATAATGTCAAGGTTTTAGAGTATATGCAATTGCAATTGTGGATAATTGCAACCATAATGTCAAAATTTTAGGGTATCTGCAACTGCGTTGTCAGTATATCATGGTTTTAAATTGCGGTAGCGGATGCGGTTGTGGGTGTTGCGGTCAATGTGGTTGCTGCAGTGCGTATTGCGGCATGAATTTTGATTGAGAGGAGTTCTAAATACAACATTGAAAAACACTTAATTATGTTTTTTAATTACATATGATGTAATTTGAGTTCTGGGGTTCTAAATTTATAAGTTTTGATGAAAATACTTGAAGAAAATTGATAAGTTTTAGAATTGTCTCGTTGAGTTCATAACGCGTCCGGACGGGTGGTTTTATAATCACATCAGCAATATTGCAGCCGTAATTGCGGTTGTGGACCGCAATTTAAAATCGTTTATATTTACAGCAACATTGTTTGCTTGTGACATGAAGGATATGACGTAACCATAATCACAATCTCAACTGCAATTTAGAAAGATAGAACGGACGGGTTTGATTAGGTTTGAAGCTTAGTTTTCTTTTGTTCTTGTATTTTCCCTTTCTATTTTTGGTATTTGAAGTAAGAGATGGAGGGAATTAAAGCCTTCCTCCTCCCCTTCTTCATTAGGGATAGGAACAGTAGGAAATCAGTGCACAAGCAACACAACATTAATGCAAAAGAATGTAAAACGTTTCTTACAACCGCTAGCGGTTGTCAAATATTGTTGTCTTTTAATTAAGCTTTTGTCAACCGAAGCTCCTTCTACTTGACTCGGTTATTCTTATTTGGGATAATAATATTGAATAACCATATAATTTTAAAAATGTAGAAAATACAATAATAAATTAAGACTTTAGTAAGGAATTAGTAATACGGAATAATTAAATAACGACATAATTAATTTAGGAAATATTCTAGGTTTCCAATTTATTTGTGACTTTGTTGCATTGAAGCTTAGTTTTCTTTTGTTCTTGTATTTTCCCTTTCTATTTTTGGTATTTGAAGTAAGAGATGGAGGGAATTAAAGCCTTCCTCCTCCCCTTCTTCATTAGGGATAGGAACAGTAGGAAATCAGTGCACGTGCACCACAACAATTATGCAAAAGAAGGTAATAGTGTTTCTTTCATCTATGTTTCTATCTCTCTCTTTTCTTTCTATTTATATCTCTTTTTCTTTCTTTTCTAATAACAACTCTTTTCTTCTCTTTTTAATACAAACACAACTAATAATCTTTTTTTCTCATAAAAACTCTATTCTACTGAAATTCCAACTTAACATTCAATATAAAATGTCTATAATTCCATCCAATCTAATTTACCCGAAAACTCTCTAAAACGGTAAAATCACATAATATGAAAACATAACATATTATCACACCAATTTCACAATTAAAACAATTATCACTCAATTAAAATAAAAGACTCAATAAAATTGGGAATAATTGAAATCGGGGCGTTACATTTATTACAGCCGCTACCGGTAGTCAAATATTGTTTTATTTTAATTAAGCTTTTGTCAACCGAAGCTCCTTCTACTTGACTTTGTTATTCTTATTTGGAATAATAATATTGAATAACCATATAATTTTAAAAATGTAGAAAATGCAATAACAAATTAAGACTTTAGTAAGGAATTAGTAATACGGAATAATTAAATAACGACATAATTAATTTAGGAAATATTCAAGGTGTCCAATTGATTGGTGACTTTGTTGCATTGAAGCTTAGTTTTCTTTTTTCCAATATTCTAGGTGTCCAATTGATTGGTGACGTGCACCACAACATTTATAAAAATAATTAAAAGCTTTTAGGACAACCGCTAGCGGTTGTATAATATAGTTATCTTTAATTAAGCTTTTGTCAACCGAAGCTCCTTCTACTTGACTTTGTTATTCTTATTTGGGATAATAATATTGATGTATTTTGAAAAATAACACTGAATGTAATAACACTGAATAAAATAATACTAATTTTCTACCTTAGAAAGCGCTTTTTAGGAAAAAGCGCTGCCTTAGGCCTTTTATTTAAATATATAATAAGACTAAATTTCTGTAAATAGAACAAAAGGATTGTCATGACAGGGGTTTCGAACCCCAGACCTTTTCTTCTATTTACACAAACCAAAAGGATTGTAATATTATTCTTGCAAATAAATAAACAGATGTATTGTCGCCCCAGCGGTTCTTGCTTGTGTACTCAAGCCTTTCCTATCTCAAAGGGCGAGGGTTCGACCCCCCCCCCCCCCCCCGTGGGATCAGAGCCTGGTTTGAATAAAGGGAACGACTTACTTGTATCGAGCCCCTTATGAGGGACCATCAGGAGAATGTATGCTGGAAGCAGATGAAATGGTGATACTTCGAGAAACAATAACAGCTATTTATTCGCAAAGAACACGCAAACCGGTATGGCAGATATCTAAAGACCTGGAAAGGGATCATTTTATGTCACCCGAAGAAGCCCAAGCCTACGGAATTATTGATTCCGTATCAGATTCTTTGCCTACGGAAGCAATTTTTGATTCCGGAGCAGATTCTTTTTTTTAAATGCAAAATTTGCATATGTCAATATTGATAGTTGGAATCAATATTGATGTTTGGACTATTTCTGTCCTTTTTATTCCTACTAAACACAGAATTTGCTTTCAAACTATTTCTGTCCCCACTATTTTTTTTCTTCTGGGAATAGTGGATTTATTCCTAAACCTTTGTCCCTAATAAACACAAATTTATTCCTAATAAATACATGCATGAGATGTTGTCTTTTCTCTTTTTAATCGTCTTAACAACCAGATTTCATAGAGTCGAATAAATTCTAAATGGAAATTATTGGGTTAGGATTGATCGAAACCAGCTCATTATGTATATGATTCACCATGCCAACTATAAAACAACTTATTAGCTCGTTATTTAGTTCGAATTGGTGAAATGGTGGAATCCATAAAAATAATTCAACAGGCTTTGGAAGGAATTCCAGGGGGGCCTTATGAAAATTTTGAAATTCGCTGCTTTGATAGAGAAAAGGAGCCAGAATGGAATGATTTTGAATATCGATTCATTGGTAAAAAACCGTCTCCTACTTTTGAATTGCCGAAACAAGAACTTTATGTGAGAATTGAGGCCCCCAAGGGAGAATTAGGAATTTTTCTAATAGGAGATCAGAATGGTTTTCCTTGGAGATGGAAAATTCGTCCACCCGGTTTTATCAATTTGCAAATTCTTCCTCAATTAGTTAAAAGAATGAAATTGGCTGATATTATGACAATACTAGGTAGCATAGATATCATTATGGGAGAAGTTGATCGTTGAAATGATAATTGATACAACGGAAGTCCAAGATATAAATGTTTAATTGTCTAAATATTCAAGAATTAAGACCATTCTAATGCTCCCTTTCGCCATGCATAAACTAAACCAACAATTAGGATAAGCACGAAGATGAAAGCTTCTATAAATACGGATACCCCTAATACATCAAAACTCATTGCCCATGGGTAAAGAAAGACTGTTTCAACATCAAAAACAACAAAAACGAGAGCAAACATATAATAACGGATTTCAAATTGTAACCAAGCATCGCCCATCGGTTCTATTCCAGATTCATAACTAGAAATTTTTTCTGGCCCTTTCCTAATTGGAGCTAAAATTCCAGAAATTAGAAATGCCAAAATAGGAATAAAGATCGATATTATTACAAATGTCCAAAAAATATCATATTCATAAAGCAAAAACATAAATGTACTCCTATGAATGTGGAAAATATACTGGATTCATATTAATTCTTAGTCGATTTGAATTTAAATTTCAAAATTATTAGATTCATTAATCTAAATAGAAATGCTTTGTATTTTATTAAGTTTACATTTTAAAAGTTGACATTATTTCTAGATTAGTATCTGAGTATACTAATACTAATATTAGTATATCATTAATCTATTCAAATAGAAATGAATTGATTCATTCTTTCGATTACAAAAAGTATTTCAACTATATTTATACTACTAGTATTACTAGTATGGAGTATTTAGTATTCCATATACTACTACTATACTAAATATAGTAGTATCGGTAGTACTATTAGGGCTATACGGACTCGAACCGTAGACCTTCTCGGTAAAACGGATCAAACTATTATTATTATCAAAATGATTTGGATTGTTTTAAAGACCCAACGTGCATTTTTTTTTTTTTTGCATTGGGCTTTTTCATTAACTGATAGAAATATCAATTAGTCTACCATCTTTTTTCTTTACGCAAAGAAAAAGGAAATGACTCCCTGTGCTCTGATTTCTTATTTAGATCAAAATCTAAGAGCACTACCAAAGTTTTTCAAAGAAGAAGGTTATTCTGACGTAGGTCTGCTTCTGGCCTGGATCAACTTAAGTTAAATGGACTCTCTATCAACCTACTTCAATAAAAATATCAAATAGGAAATGAAACTTCATACACCTTAAAGTTCATAAGATAGGAAATAAGATTTGACTTCTGTTTTTTTTTTTTATTGATAAGAATTTTCTTGTTAAGACCCTATAGAATCAATGGAAAACCTGAGATTCATACCAGAACCACGATGATTTCCAAAAAAACCTTTAATCGAAGTCCAAGAATTCCCTGAGTAAGAACTGCTAGATCATCACTTATTCAATTTCAATAAATAGATATAATGAAAAAAAAATACAAAGAAATGGATAAGCGGCGGCCGAATAAAATTCCATTTCTTTTTCTAAATGAATTCTTCTAACTCTTTCATTTTTTTTCGTCCGGTTGCGAGGTCTAAATATAAATATTAAGTATGAATCATAGTTCTAACACTTTAGAATCTATTTATTTTCTATATTCCGTGCTCCAGATACTAGAATAAATATCTGACGGGGTAAAGCCATCTATCAAGATAAGATGACGTATCCATTTTATGTTCTGTACTATCAATAGGATCCATTATAACAAGTCACACACTCATATTCCGGAAATAGAGAAACAAAGAAGTTTCGCGGTCCAACTACCAAATCAAAATGGAATGGTCTAAAAATGAACGATCTAAATGCTAAACTTGACTTTTCTATTGAAAAGCTAGTTAGTTGGTTCTTGTGAATCGAATTCTCTAATTCATGGAAATTTGGTCCAGTAAAAGGGACGAATTATAAATCTCTAAAATAATAGAGAGAAATACCGCAAATAGGGCCATTGCAACCCCCATCCAAGGGGTAGTTCCCCACCCCGAAGCTACTTTACCATATTCTGAATTCAATGGTTTCAATAAATCTCCTACAACAGTTCGTCTTGGACCAGATCTAGAACTACCCTCAACGGTTTGTGTAGCCATAAATCCTATTTTTTTATTGAGATCTGTTGACTTTGTATACCATTCCGTTGTAGATAAAGGATCTTACCCTATAGATCCATTGTAGTCTTGATATTATAGAATCATGGAAACAGCAACCCTAATTGCCATCTCTATATCCGGTTTAATTGTAAGTTTTACTGGGTATGCCTTATATACTGCTTTTGGGCAACCCTCTCAACAACTAAGAGATCCATTCGAAGAACATGGGGACTAGTTGAAGTAATGAGCCCTCAATATTACGATATTGGAGGCTCATTACTTCATTCAATTGAGATAATTCTCAATCATTTCGTGTTTTTAGTGGGAACTTTAGGGGGTTCTCTAAAAAAAATAGCGAAAAAAATGATTCCTAAAGTCGAGACTAAGAGGAATGTATAAACCAATGCTTCCATAGATTTGATCGTGGTTTACAATTATAGCTTTCATACCTGTTTTGGGGGATTATCTCCTGGATAAAGAAAAAGAAAGAACAAGAGTAAAACAAAATGGAATCAAGATTTATCTAGTTCCCTAATATCAAATTCACATAACAAAAAAAAAATCGAATCGAAAAGGAACAAACCTATTTCTATCAGACTCCCTGTTTTTTTGTAGTTGGATCTCCAAGTTTTTGGAATGCTCCAAATTCTACTTGCGCATCCAAATCTGGATCAATACCAGCAAAAACATCTCTGAACAAGGTTCTAGCACCATGCCAAATGTGTCCGAAAAAGAAGAGCAGAGCAAACGAAGCATGTCCAAAAGTAAACCAACCCCTTGGACTGCTACGAAAAACACCATCCGATTTTAAAGTAGCACGATCTAATTCAAAAATTTCACCCAATTGAGCACGTCGAGCATATTTTTTCACAGTAGCAGGATCGCTATAACTGACTCCATTGAGTTCGCCACCATAGAATTCAACAATTACACCTACTTGTTCGACACTATACTTCGATTCTGCCCTTCGAAAAGGAACATCTGCTCTAACAATTCCGTCTCCGTCTACCAAAACAACCGGAAAAGTTTCAAAAAAGGTAGGCATACGACGTACAAAAAGTTCATGCCCCTCTTTGTCTCTAAAGATAGGATGCCCTAACCAACCAACCGCTATTCCATCTCTATTGTCCATTGAGCCCGCTCTAAACAAACCCCCTTTTGCCGGATTATTACCGATGTAATCATAAAAAGCTAATTTTTCAGGAATTTTAGACCAAGCTTCTGATAAACTTTGATTTTCGACTAGCCCACTACCAACTCTTCGATATATTTCTTGCTGGAAGTATCCCTGATCCCATTGATAACGAGTAGGACCAAATAATTCAATCGGGGTAGTTGCTGAACCATACCACATAGTTCCAGCAACAACAAAAGCTGCAAAAAATACAGCAGCGATACTACTGGAAAGGACGGTTTCAATATTTCCCATACGCAATCCTTTGTATAAACGTTGAGGTGGACGCACACTAAGATGGAAAAGACCCGCTAATATGCCCAATGTCCCTGCTGCAATATGATGAGAGGCTATTCTCCCCGGAACAAAAGGATCAAAATCGTCCACACCCCATGCGGGATTTACAAATTGTACCCTTCCTGTTAGTCCATAAGGATCGGATACCCATATTCCAGGACCAAACAATCCTGTTACATGAAAGGCGCCAAAACCAAAACACGCCACCCCTGCAAGAAATAAATGAATTCCAAATATTTTTGGCAAATCCAAAGAAGGTTTTCCAGTACGTTCATCACAAAAGATTTCTAGATCCCAATAGACCCAATGCCAAATAGCCGCCAAAAAGCACAAGCCCGAAAACACAATATGTGCCGCGGCCACACCTTCGTAACTCCAAATACCCGAATTTGTTATAGTGCCTCCTGTAATATTCCAACCACCCCACGAATTGGTTATTCCTAAACGAGTCATGAAGGGTATAACGAACATACCCTGTCTCCACATTGGGTCAAGAACAGGGTCAGAGGGATCAAAAACTGCTAATTCATATAGAGCCATCGAACCGGCCCAACCAGCAACCAGAGCTGTATGCATTATATGGACAGAAAGTAAACGGCCGGGATCATTTAATACAACGGTATGAACACGATACCAAGGCAAACCCATGAAAATACCCCTTATATTAACAAAAAATAGACACTATGTAACTTTATTGCACTGTAAAAAACTATGCTTGCTATAGACCCTCCCCTTAATTAGTATTAGTAAATTATCTCACATTAAAGAATTTATATTTGTTCGAGTTTTTTAGAAACAAAGGAGCATTCTATTCGTAGGAACAAAAAGAAGCAGATCTATTCTATATCCGATAAGTAACAATACGCAATGGTGGTGGGGGTTTACTTTTTTTGATATGCGTGTTTATATCAGTGAATGCAGACAATGGATACTAATACAAGAACAACGAATCCTTTTTTTCTTCAAAATGAACATTCGTTGTTCTTATATTAACACAAAAAGTCTACGTATGGGTCTTTCTTGGTTTCATTACAAAGATAGAGCTTTATATATATAAAATATAAAAAAAATATATATATAAAATATAAAAAAAAATGAAAAAATGAAAATATTTTCGTTTACTCAACTCATGTCATGAGTTGATCAATAAATCGGTTGATTTGGAATCATAGGCTGGGTAGATGTCACAGCTGATGAATTGATTTCTTACCTATGTAACTATATTTTTCTTTTTGTTCATCCGTAATAATGGATTCATGAATCCATTATTTTCAATTGTATCTTTCAATTGGTATTTTTTGCTTACCTATTTGGATCTAAAAAAAATGGAAACTTAGGAAAGTGCTTTATAAACATATGTATAAAAAGAATATATTTCATCTAGTTTCCTTATGCCCACTATAACCAGTTATTTAGGTTTTATACTAGCAGTTTTAACTATAACCGCAGGTATTTTTATCAGTCTGAGTAAGATACGACTTATTTGATTTGCAATTTAGAGATGAATTGGAAATT